CTTGTCTCTCTTATGCCTTTGAATTTATATATTTTTAAAGTTTTTCATGAACAGTAACAGGAACATTGTGAGGCTGAAGGAACAGAGTAACTTTGGCTGGATCACTTTTAGACATAAAGATATCACCCACTCTAACTTATAACACAGGCACAGTCTATTCCAGCAATGTTCAACATGGTAGCCACTAGCCATACGTGACCATTTAAATTAAATTAATTAAAATTAAATGAAATCAGTTCTTCAACAACACTGGCCCCATTTCAATATTATCAGTCACATGCAGTCATCATGGCCTAGGTTGAAAGTGCTCATTTTCAGACTATCGGACTAGAGAGACTTTAAAAAGGCATGACACTGGAAAAGACAGCAATGCATTCAGGCTCTACTTAGGGCATCTCAAAAAGTTTAAAATGTATTGCCTGAAATCATGTCACAACTAAGGCACTCCTGCTGTAAAATTCAACAATAGCCCGTAGGTCTCCATTTCCTCTTTTTAATGGAAATGTGTTTGATTGCTCTTTCATTCATTCAATAAACATTAAGAACCTACTCTGGGTTAGACACTTTTAGACTCTGTGGGTTCAGCAAGGAACAGAAACATACTGATCACATCATAATAAAACAAGTAATATAGAATATTTAGGAGGTAAGTGTTAAACAGAAAAAGAAAGCAGACGAAAGAATGTGAGTGCTGGGGAGGTGTCAGAGGTGGTTGTTCATATTTTAAAGAGGATGTCAGAGTAGGTTCCACTGAGGAACATTTGAGCAAAAACCTGAAGGCAGAGACTGAGTCTTGAGGATCTCTGGATGTAGCATGTTTTTTGCAGAAGGACTCGCCCAGGCAAAATCTTTGAGATGGGAATGTTTCCAGCACTTTGTGGGGAAAGCAGATGCTGGAGAGGCTGGAACAGAGTGAGAGGTGATTAAAGACAGCCTTCCCTGCTCTCTGTGGTGCCCTGGCTTTAAGCAAACATGACTGCTCCAAGGGTAAGCAGCTAAGCTGGTTCTTCAGCCATCACCCTTCAGCCCCTGGAGACTAAGGACAGAGGGAACATAAATATGTAGCTATGCTTATTTTTTTCCTTTGGAGTGTCAAAGTATCCTCAAGGAACACTCAAGATTTCATGACATTCTTGATGGTAAGGGTTTTCAAGTGCTTCTAACAGGACTGAAAGCTTTTTGATTAAGGAAGGAAGCTCATCCCTATTAATTCTTCCTGGATTTAATGCAACTGAGTTTCTGATTTGTACTCAGTTTTTCTATCATATGTTTAAAAGAAATCTAGGGAGTATAGCACAAGAAACTATATTCAATATCTTGTAATAGCCTAATGAAAAAGAATATGAAAAGGAATATATACATATATATGTGTAAATGAATCACTATGCTGCACACCAGAAATACATGGTAAACCGACTATACCTCAATTAAAAAAAATAAGGATTTAAATAAACAGATAAAAGAATTAAAAAGAAATCTAGGGGAAAAACGTGAAAACTGATCTGTATAGTTTAGAATGTAGGTTAAGCTTATATTTACCTTTATACTCAAACACCTCTAGGATATGATGAACAATTTTAATAAAAATGGGAAGAAATCCAGAGTATTTTTATATATACTATCACATGGTTTTGTTTATATTTCTTATTGCACATTTCAGAGATAACTTTGGAAATTTTTTTGGTATATTTATAGAAACAGTTTTGAAAATATATGTTGAAAATATATATACTAAGGAGTAAGTTTTACGGTTTAGAATAAATTATTTAAATGTAAAATATTGAGTTTGTTCATGATTTATTTCACCCATTTGAAGGTAATGTAACTACTGGGACAGACAGTTCACCACGGGCTCAGAGTGGTCTTGCGTGTTCCTGTTGAGGTGCCAGACTGCAAGACTTCATTTCCTAATTCTAAGCAACATCTGTAGCTAGTCCCATAGGCAATTAAGTGGGACAAGGTGACCACAGCATGACTTCAGGGGTAACAGCTCACTCTCTGGGCACAGGAAACTGGCTTGTTTGCTGCTTGCTACAGTGTTTGCAACTAGCCCAGAGTGCTGGGCCCTGGGTTTCTCAGCTGTGACACAAACCCGCTATGTCTACAGCACCCGTCTGCGCCCACCATGTCACCCTGTAGGACTTATGGAAAAAGAGAAGCAACATACTTAAGTTAATACTCACGCATTCACTGTCCCATGAGTAATCCAGTCCTTTGTCTCTGAACCAGGATTCTCGTGCCTTCTGCCAACATCCATGAAACAGTTAACAGACTAGCTTATTAAGAATCTCAGACCCTTCACAGTCCTTGACAGTAACTCATCTTCAGATTCAAAAGTGAGAAAAATATTACAAAACACCTTTCTCATTTTATATTTGCAAGTATAAAATACCATATAAAAATTATACATCTGATGCCATCTTTCCCTTCCTCGTTTTGTGACGTTTTTAGGGACATTTGAAAATAGATTCAAAATTAGTATTTCCACATTTCCAGAGCTCAATATCCCTCTCCATGTCCTCCCTTCTTTCCTTACCTGGCTTAGATTCCATACTCTATTATTAATTACACTCCCTGGAAAACACCTGTACCTTTGCCTTTCCTTCAACTTGTCTGGCAAGCTTACAACTGTGGTTAAATTAAAGTATTTGCATTACCTCAGCCCTGCACCGAGTACCTAAAAATTATGAACTGGTCTCACTTGAAATTTATGACCACACATTTCAAAGGGGTCTGATAATCCTACTACATTTCCTATATGTTTGCTATTTCATACTGCCTTCTCTTCCTTCAAACTTCTCATGTCCCCTACTCTTGCTCAGTTCATGAACTTTAGAAAATATTTCATTGAGGAAAATATAAACCACAAAGCAGGAGTCTTATTATACGCCCATCAATGCACTTTCCACATCTTTACCATCCCTCCTATTATAACGAAGTAAACATCTCTACCTCCTGCAAAGAACCATCTCTCTAACCTTCTCGAAGACTTCCCCCCTTCAATTCTTTTTTCTTTACTTCAGGACTTTTTCCTGGATTATTTCCATAGCCACTACTATCTCTTATCTTAAAACAAAACAACACTTCATCTTACCCCATTTCTTAAAGGCCATCCCATCTCTATTTCAATTATCTACAAATTTGGTCTTCATATCCTTATTTCATTTATCGAATCATATTTCTACCTCACTACTCCACAAAGCCCTCTCTTACCGCTCTTACCACCCATGTCTTCCATATTGCCAGATCTAATGGCCCTGCTCTTGGCTTATTTAGCCTCTGGGCAGCATCCACAACGTTGACTAGTTCTTTCTTTTTGCAACATTTTCTCCTTGTAGCTTCCGTGATGTCACACTCTTGGGTTTCCTCCCACCTCACCAGTTCCACTTTTAAAGCCTCCACTATGGTTCTTCCTCCTCCACTGGATCTCTAAATATTAGACTACCCAAGAGCTCTGTCCTTGGCCTCTTCTCCTCTATTTCCATTCCTCAGTGAGTCCACCCATTGGTATATTTCACCATTTAGTATGTTCGCAGGATATACTAATGAGCAAGACTCAAAATTCCTGCCCTCATGTAACCTATAATCTGGTGGAAAGGGGATAAGTAGTGTTAGACATAAATTATGGAGAAAATTTAGAGTAAGAGAATGAAAAGTTATTGGGATGAGGAAAGAGCTATTTCCTGTAAGGTTGTTCAGAAAAGACTCTCTATTAAGTGGACAGACGCCTGACAGAAATAAGAGAGGGCTGACTCTGGGGGTGCACAGAGGGGAATGTCAAGAAAGAGCAACTTGAGATTCAAGCCTGTAAGCATGGAATATAATAGTAGTGAAAAAAACGGAGATAAGAAAGAAAATTAGTCCTTTTTTTCTCAGGAGAAGTGATGAGATTTAAAGCTACTATGAGTTTGAGGTGTTAGCGGAACATACAAGAAAGAATGTCCAGCAGGCAGGTGAGAAAACAGAACTGAAACCAGAGACTTTAGGGCTAGATGTGGATTTAGGAATCAGTCACAGAAAAGTGAAAGACAAGCTTGTAAGATGACATCTCTAAAGGACTAAAGGAAGAAAAGAGTGCTAATGACTAAGTCTTAGGGGATTCAATGAGGTATTTATAAAATCTAATGAAATATCCCTGTTATTATTTTTACTGACAATCTGATGTGCATTTTTTTCCCTAAGTCTCCTCTCCGTTTTTCAGCCCTATTAGGATGTACATGGCCTTGTTTGTCTTACTCACTGCCACCATCTCAAGTGCCTGAAAGAGTACCAGGAATGCAGCAGGTGCTTGGAAAACATACAATGAATAAATGTCTGCCTTCCTCTATTAGCATTCTTAGTTAAGAAAATAACTAACGCCCCTCGTTCCTTTCAAGCAATAGTCTCTCAGAATGTCAGAATTTTTGTCTCTGTTGAGTTCCTTTGACAAAGCGTCCATACGCTTTTCCAATGTTACATTCAGCACCTGCAATTTATTTCTAATGATTTCACCGTCTACTTTATAGATCATTGAAATGTAAACTAAGTAACCCAAGGAAGACAAGATGGACACTATTATCTCTGCATTGAAGCCTACATAAAAAACGTGAGACTTAACTTGCAGCTGACAGGTTTTCAACTTTCCAGAGCCTGCTACTCCTACTAGGACAGATGAAATAAATCTGGGTGTGTTCAGACTTAATGACCAGGGCAGCCTTGCTGTCTTTCTCCAGCTGCATGACTTGTACAACTCCTCTCAAATGGAACTCATTTTCTTAAGCTCTGGGATGCTAAGCCATATTCTGTCATGTTTTCCTCTGTCACTGAAAATAAAAGAACAGCTCCTATTAAGACTAGAACTGTTGAGTTGCACAGACATTAAAACAGAGAAAAGTATTCCTTTTCTTATTTGGTAAATATTTTGCTTTTGAAATATCAGTAATTAATCACAGCTGTTTCCTTTCATTACAAACGTACCCAATCAGGTAAAATTTCAAATAAAACACACAATCCAACAGTCATTCCATTATACAGTACATTGGGAACCTTAAGCCTTGCAAAATATATGTATTAGGTATGCATGTATTCATCAAATCAAACAAAGAAACTAATGGATCTCTGATTAGTGTTCTAACTCTATTATGATGATACGTGCATCTCACCCTGACTCATCTAAAACAGGCGAACAAAATGCTATTAAGTTTCACATACAATCTGTTATGTGCCATCATCATTCTGGTCAAATACCCCAAAATGAATTTTGGCTAGAATTTTTCCCTTGAAAATCAGGGGCAAAGAAAGAGCTGCTGTTAAGCTGAGGTACTCGTCTATTTTAACCTCAATAATTTGTAATACTTTATGTCAAAACTAAAATGAAAATTAACCAAAATTTACCTTGTCTAGGATCCATAAAAGATTGCGTTTCCAAAGGGACTGTCACATGGACATTAGTGGACAATGGCTTATTCAATCCACAATTAGGCATTCAGAAAAGTAAGTAAATAGCAAATGAGTTTTTATTAAATATTCTAAAAATACAGATTTGGGGAGGCAATTATAAATAAATTTCTAATATAGTAATAAATTGGTAGTTTGAACCAAGAAAACAATGTAACGAAAAATTCATTTCCAAATGCAAAGTAGTTACCCTATATTTAGGGATGGTTCATATTAGTGCATAATTATATTTTTAAGAAAAAGATAATTGTTACAATCAGGTTTATAACCAATTAATTACACCTAAGTTCAATCTGTTAGTAATATATTCTTTTAGAGAATCCAATTTAAACATCTTAACACCTTTTTTTTTTTTTTGGATTTTCTCCAAACAATGGTGGAAGTACCCCTTGATAGACAGAACTCAGGAAACAGTTTGACCACACCCAGATTATACTGATATCTACAATACAGGACTCCAAGGCGGAGTCCAGCTCTATCTTGTGAACTAAGTCCAGTTCAGAATGCTTAAAAATGACGCAGTAACTAAAGACAGTACTCATCATTATCAAAAATTAACAACTTTAGGTATCTTTGTTTTGGGTTTCTGTGGTTTAGGCACATCCAAAATTTCTTCATAATCTGCACTCATTCCCTTTGCCCAGCGACCAACTGTGACCATTCGATCTGTAAAGAAATAGAAAAGCCAGAATGTAAGAAAAAGTCATCAAATACATCCACCTAGATTGGTATTGGTTTAGCAAAAGAACTAGTTTTGACATGAATAATCACAAAGAGAGAAGACTCCATCACTAAAGGAAAGCGAGCAATTCTGTAATTGATTATAATCCTTGATTTCAGAGTACCACAGGCAATTTCTTGTCCCAATTAGGGAAATGCAGCAACTGCTTTGCAATGCACAAATTGATGAAAAAGCTCTTTCATTCCTTCCCAGAGTTCACCATTATAGAGTCAATGAATTCCAAGAGTCTGTAAACAGCAAGACTTATGAAGCATCAGTTTTAAATGCACAAGATTCCACCTGTGAAATTATAAAACATCTGCTTGTCAGTCTTGTCATTTGGGAAGTGGCAATCCTCCCAGGAGGGAGAATTCAAATTCCACTTCATCATTTCAATCTCACTGCCTACAGTGTAGTATAGACTGACTTCTTCTAGACAAGACTGTAAGCAAGAACAAGCTTTCAAATTCAAGTGGTAGGGGTAGGAAGTAAGAATGAGCAGATTTATTTGTGTGGTACTATGACTATCTGATGTAAAAGAAATGTGCTTTTTCCCTAAGAAGTACTAGTGGGCTATTCTACTGTCTTGTTTTTTTTCACACAGGACTATCATCACTCTAATTTAGGTAAACTAATGTAATAATTGTCTCCACACTTCCCAAAAATTTGCCTTAGATTTTGTGAACAGTTATGAAGTTTTTGATGACTAAGGGTAGTATTTCATTAGGAATAAAATATAACTGACCACATGCTGTGTGAATAATACAATTTTAATATTTTTGCCAGTTTTTGTAACTAACTCTGAATCCTTCAGAGGTTTTAGAGCATACATGAGGATATACAATCATATGAATATTGAAAGTTATTTTCATATTTCTCATTTTAGTGAATCAATACTGAATTAGCTCTATTATTAAGTACATTAGTTAGCTAATATAAATACTTATGAATAAAATGCTTTATAAAATCAGGGTCCTCTGGGGTTTACTGGTCCCCTTTTTTTTCACACCTGAGAACAGCAGCTGATTCTCACTTCTGTGTCTACTACTGATACAGAAATGATGAAGTCATCACTGCAGTAAGAAACCAGGCAGCCTTAAAATCAGTTGTACCTCAGTGAGATATTAGTATCAAAATTCAGCAAAAACACAGAGGAACACTAATCTCACCCCTTCTAAATGGAGACCCAGAGAACGCACCTGAATTCTGACTTTCAGGGCAATCTTTCTTAAAATGTTTCACAGAGCCACAAAGTCTGCAGCAACCACCTACAAAAAGAACAAAGTCATTGAAAACCTCTCAGACTTACATAGGGTTTTTAATGTCTCAAAGCACTTTTATATCTTATTTGGTCTTCATAACCTTGTCAGTTGTAAAGTAGCTGGAGCCAGGTAGGTGCCACTATTCCTATTAATAAACCCATTCTCCATTCCTCCTGACCTCAGAGAGCATTAATCTGTGCCTACCCACCATTTCTTGCACCTGGTCTTCAGGGGAGAAGTGAGAAAGAGAAGTGAGGAATGATGAAAGGTACCTGTCCTCTGGAATGTCCAAGAGCCATCCAAGAAGCTTGGATTTTAACCAGGGTTAGATACGCAGGGGCTTGTGAACTCTGCAAAATTTGTGTGCAAATGCATTTTTTGAGAATGTCCATAGTTTTTGTCAGATTCTCCAATAATTAATGACCTCGAAAAAGGTTAGGAACCACTGCTCTGCTATACAAGTCAGATGGGGGTGAGAAGCTACAAAAGGAATGAAATTAACTTTTGTTTCAGTGCCTTCTATCTGCCAGGTATCCTAACTCACAAAAATGCCTATTTGCCTACTTTAAGCAACATTCCAGGATTGTGAATTATAACACATATGGTTTCTAAAATCAGTCTTTCACTGAATGGTCAAACACTATTGCTTAATGGTCTAGCATATCAATCTTCCTCATAATGTTATGTGATTTAGTCAGAAAAAATGACCCTATAGGACATAAGCCTGGATGAATTCTCATTTCTATGTGGTCTACTCCCCTTCCTATACTTTTTTATATCTAGTCATTCTGGTTGACCGTACAAAGCCACCTTTGTTCCCTAGCCATATTATATGACCTGTTTCTTAAATTCAAAATTCAAAGGTACTTTTGAGCCTTTTCCACGTCCAGGACTCTTCGCTGTTATAGATGCCACAGTGAAATAGCAGAGACACTTAATAGTATGTTTTAATCCTCCATAACTCTTCAAGGTAAAATACCATAATTCGTCAAATCTAAGATAGCCCTGATTATAAGATTTATCATTATTTTACATACCTCTCTGGGGAAGAAAAAAAAACCCTGCCAATTATGTGGCACTCACCAATAGTAAGATATACTAAGTTTAGAGATACAAAAATGTGGAGAAAAAGTGCATTACAGAATCAGTGAAATACAGTTTTCTCATTGCCATTTTACAGGTGAGGAAACTGAGATGAGAGAAGTTAAATAACTTGGCTACAGTCCCATAGGTAGTGAGTGGCAGTGCTAGGTCTATAATAAATGGTCCAACTCCAAAGCTATGCTTTTTCACTGACCTTCTGCAAGGGAACCCAGAACGTGACACAGTAAGTGTCTAGAACATGATGGTACCAGCATCACATTAACAGAAGACAATATCCTCCCTAAAGCTTTAGACATCATAGGCTTTACCGTGGGGACCTTAAGACATCAGCTAAGCTAAAGATAAGAAAGTTACGTGATCCCATACCAGACAATCAAATAAGAAAAACTTCACAAACAAAAATTACTTACAAATGTGAACAGTGTGTATCAACCCTTCTACCCAAAATGGTATGCTAGGCTGAGATTAAATTTATAACACTATTTTTTTAAATCTTACATTAGTTTGAGAAATAATCCCTTTGCTTCTGTTATGTTTAAAAGCAGATATTTATAACATACTCTCACAAATTATGCTGAAGCAAGCACATAGTTTGAAATGTACATGTTAGTTTTTTCCTATTTGATATATTAATATATCAAGTCACATTACGTAAAAAGTCTAGAACATAAATAGTGCTTGATAAAAAGAAATTCTCAAGATTTTGCCACTTATTCAAGAATTTATTTAAGAAGTGGCTAAGTGTACATTGAATCACAACTGCATGATGACTTTCCACTTTTGACATACATGATCAACAGTACTCACCATCAGCGTAGAGTCCTTTGGGATTATCAGGACAAGATCTGGACAGATGCCCCATTTCTCCACAAACAAAACATTTTGCAAAGGGAAATTCACCTATAACGATCAACAGTTCCTGGTGAGTTGGTTATATATATTACAAGTCATGTAATTCATATTATTTTAAAATACTCTGAGAAGAAAACATATTCATTTTTACATAATTTAAAGTTGACTCTCATTTGATTTCAAAATATTAAGTGGCACAGTCATAACAAACCCTGTCAACAGAAAAAAAAAAAAACTAGTTGCCTACTTATTGGCCACTTTCTCCATTAAACAAATAAAAAACTGACAGAAAAAAAACATACCAAGAGCTGGGTCCACTTTAGCCTTGCACTTGGTTATTTCATGCTCTGTGGATCCACACCGATAACATATTCCAGTGCCCATTTCTTGACTCTCAAGAGCAGCTGGGCAATCTGCAATCCCATGGCCAGGTTTTCTACAATGGAAACATACCTGGGAAAACAAAATGTGAGTTTCCACACTGTATAACTACTCTGGCTTTATTAATTCTACTCATCAAAAAAATCTTTAAAACATTTCTCATTTTAAAGTTATCTAGCTCGTGTTTTGAAATCTCCATACTTTATCTGTAGAAAAAAGTTCCTAAACCATAAAAATGTCGTTTCCATCAGAGGATCTCAGTGCTTTTGAAAGCCTTCAATACATAAATCTATCAGTCTCAGACACAAAGTTATAAATGTCTTTGTAGGAGGTAGTTGCTTAAATAAATTAAGCAAAAAAGGACATTTGTTTCACTAATGGGGATGTCCACACCAGAAAAACTGAGTTTTCTGAAGCAGACAGACAATGACCATAAAAATTACCACTCAAAATTAATACTTTCACTTTTAAAGTTCATATGATTAAATGAATTTGGGTAAAATTATTCCATTTAAATTATAATTCAAATCATAAGATATATTTTATACCAGAAAGTACATCTTAAAGTTTTTATATCTTTAATATTCGTAAATAGGCAGAGGTTTCATTTTTAGTATATATTCTCATTTTAAAGGTATAATTCTAAGCCGAATTATCTGGCTTCAACACAACACTGAACAATGGTTTGGTTGCTTTACATACTACTTAGCAATTTGGAGGATAATTTTTACTGCAATGAATGAGAATATCAGTCATAATCAAAGATGGTAGATATTTAAACTATTTTATTTAAACTGAAAAAAATATATATATTTCTTGGATAACAAATAGTTCATCATTTAATTTTTTTTTCCAAAATAAGCACACGTTTCTGAAAAAAGCAAATTCAACAGGCAAAATAAAACAATATTTTGCAACTATATCCTCACTTTTTTTTTTCTGTTTAATAACATATTGGAAAAGAATGAGTCCCTTTATTCTTCATCAACTTTTACATTTAGAATGAGCTGGTCCAAACAAAGAAAATGCATTTATTTGAGAACTGCAGGAAAAGCTACTGCTAAAAACTGGATTACCATGATTAAGAAGTCTTAGTTTCTAGGTGAAGTCAAGGTGGTCTCTAGTAACCTGACAGTTCACTGATTAGGTTTTTAATCTTTAAAGCCTAATCTTTACCGAATAAAATTTCTTGAGTGATCCTTAAATTTAATGTAGACAGGACTGTGGAGAGCGGACTGGCAAATTTCTATACCTTAATCAACTTATTAATAATGAAGAACTGATGCTTAGTGTGAGGTAATAAAAAAATAACAAGAAAACAAGTTGAAGGTAGGTCACAAGAAGTCATATACTATTTAAAGTATATGCTTTAACATAAAGCATTTCTTTAAAAAAAAAAAAGAAGTCTTTCTCCTTTTAATTACAAACATAAAACTTCTCTTAAAATGTCACAACATTAAACTTTTTCCAAAAGTATGCAATTCACCACACTGCCCATGACAATGAAATTATCTTTAAGTTATACTAACATGACTTTAAAATATTTTAAAATAATTGTATAATTCAAGCAAAACTATCTTGATACAAATAGAAATGATTATCTTTTCTAGGAATATTCCATCAGTATCATCTTTAAAAATGATACTGCATAGAATCCTGCAAATAGAAGACACATTTATGAAGGCTGTCACATTTCAAGCCTGCATTGGTGCAAACGGGGCTCTACATTTACTAATCCTTATTTTTTTTAAAAAGTGTAAAATGGCAACAAATTCTGACTCTTACGTAGTATCCTGCTAAAAGACGTGGTAAATTCAATTAGAGGAATTATACTAAGAATTTCATTTCCTCAGTCTGACAGTTTAAAATCTAGGGCTAGGCACCACAGAAATAAACCTGCAGCTCCCAGCATTCCTCTGAGTGGACATAAGGAGGGACGGAGCAATGACTAGGGAGAGTCTCAAGGAATTTTAACTCTCTTACTCTGCTCTGTTACTAACCAGTGTGTTTCTTACCAGATCTCCTTCCTATGCCTCAGTTTTTCATGAATAAAGATAACACCCTTTCCAACTAACAGACACCACACATATTTAACCAGTTGTACTTAGCCTTCCCCTTTACTTCATCTTTTTTTAAAATGGCTGTTTGAAAAAGGGCTGTTGGAAGGGGTGAGAATATAGGTTTTCAAGTCAGACTTTGTGTTTAAATTTTTTTCCTTTTTTTGGTTGGACTGCACAGATCTAGCAGCCCACTAAGGTTGATATGTATTTAATAACACATATACTCATATAGTGCCAGCCACTATTCTAACTAGTCAAATATTAACACCTTTTCCTGGGTTTGAATTTCACCTCTGCTACTAAGTGACTTTCAGCAAGATACTTAACCTATCTGTACATCAATGTTTTCTACCCATGAGAATGCCACCATTTTTTTAATGTTGTGGTAATTAATCAGCACCTCAAGTGCTCAGCATATAGGAGGTGCTAAAAACAAGTCCAAGTGTTATTACTAGCCCTCAAAAAGTTGCCTTATAAATCCAGTACATAACAGTAATCAGTCTGCTAAAACACATGTGTATGAGTGAATGAATAAGTTTCTAGTCATATAAAATAACATTTTGGTAGAAGTGATAATCTTACCATTGCATTTTTCTTTGCTGCTTGTCTTTTTAATCTTCTTCCTTCCCGACGATTATCTTTCTTTAAAGCAATTGCAACTTCTTCCCTTACTTCCTGACTGTCTGTTGCTATCATCTCCTCATTGTTAACCATCTGTGAGTTTTGTCTTAGGTATTCCATGAATCCATTCACATCTTCATTTAAGTATTCCTTTTTCTTCTTATTCCTTTTGTGTTTTGCTTGGGGCACATCATTTTTAAGGCACAGCCTGTTGGCTTTAAGTTGTTCACTCTTTGGTAGGTTTTGGCTTTTTCCCTCAAAGGACCCCTTCTTCATGTCCTCCCATGATGTTGCAGGAAAGGGTCTTTTGTTATGTGTGGTAGTAACTCGTGCCCACCTGGTCATGGCTTCATCAGAGGTACCTCATCAATCCCTAAGACAAGTATGGCCAGTTAGTTATCATTTAAAAGAAAAAAAAATACATGCTATATCACACACATGCGTCATGTGTTAAAGTTTTAATTATTTAAAGCAGTTCTTACTTCACTTAGATATCTATATTTAATCCTATAATATGTTGCATAGATATGCCTGTAATGTAAATCTAGCCCTTACCAGAGACCTGACCACTCCAGTAAAAAACAAACAACAACACAACCACGGATATAAATACTTGCTTCAAAGGAGAAAACAATTCATTAAGAAACCAAATTATTCCCAAAATTTAAATCACATAGTAATAGTGAATGAAGTTACTCTTTCCAAATTCTGCAGTTTTCTCAGCCATTTACTTTCCTATCTCTAAGTCCCAAGTCTACTTTCTTCCAATCTTCCTTAGTCTGCCTTTGCATAGCAAGTAAGTATACACAAACCCTGTCCGTGGAGGTGAAGCTTGTCATTACAACTCTTTCTGGCAGATTGACAAGTAAAATATATAAAAGCGTGTGCAATTACGGGATGATACTAGGTCTTCTCCTAGGAATTAGAGTGTAAACTACTTCCAGCCCAGTTGTTTCAAATTGTTTTCAATTAGTAAGCCGCGTCCCTTTTAAGGCAGCATTTCGTGCAACAACCAGTGTAAAATCCTCAGCTCCTGCCAAAATATCCTTCAACACAAGCTGAGGAGCCAGGGAACAGGTGTGAGACGCGGCACGCCACTTCACATCACGCGCGCACACTCGTCGCTGCAGGACCTGTGACTGTCACAGCGGGGACCGGGGCTGTTCAAGAGGAAGTGAATTAGCCTTCCCCTGAGTACATGGGACGTGGGAAGCTCTGAGTACAGGCTTGGCCGGGACCCTCCGCCCGACGGGCCGCAGTGAGGCCGGACCTGCCAGCCCAAGCGATAGCCCCCTCCAGCTGAGGCCGGTCCCCACGCCGGAGCCCTCAGGCCAGCCGCGGAGCCGGGCGCTCCAGCCCCACCTGGCACTGGGCACCCTCAGGAATGTAGCTGCCTGTCCCTCCGCCCTCCTTCCGCCCTCCCCCCGGGTCACAGGGAACTGAAGAAGAGACCCTACCACTCGCCTGCCCCGCGCACAACTTCTTACCACGCATGAATCCTCCAGCGCGACGGAGTTATCAAGCCAGAGAAGCCCGCCCCCTGAGGCGGCGTCCGCACTCGGGAGCGGAAGCACGTCTTCCCTGAGAGCGCGTCATTTCCGGCGGGCCCTAGGCTGAAGGGCGCATGTGCAGCTGACGGGCGCTATGGTCCCTCCCTGCGCCGGTAAAAGTGACTGATTTTAGTGCACGTGGGGTGCCCAGTGTTTGACGGGCACTGCGCTGGACGCCGGAGGCGCGAAGGTGAAGAGTGCTAAATCCGTGCTATTGAACACACAGCACAGTGGGAGGATCCGTGGGGTGGGAGAGGCCTGGAAGGCTTCCTCGAGAAGTTGATCTTTGAACTGGACTTTGAGAAATATATCAAAAATTTGTTGAAACTGGCGTCGGGAGGGAGTTACGTCTTTCCAAACAGACGTGAAGTACAGCTTAGGATCACGGTGATAGAAATCTAAAAAGGACATTCGGGGCTCTGTTGGGTGGAGGGCGGTGCCCCACTGTCCTGCCCAATGCTAGTTAAGCATTCAATTCGAATACATTGTGGAGCCAAAGATTTTCTCTCTTTTAGAGGGAAACCCTAGTCTCTTAAGCAACTCGTCTCAACAGTGCCCCTCCCCCCGCGCCCCCCAAACGCTACCACCAGCAGTTGTGCATGGTGGAAAATTTGGCATCCAAGCTCACCAGGAAAACTGCCCATCCCCATCATCTTGCTTGATTCATTTCACCTCTTGAATATCTGTCCGCTTTTCGCTACGACTACCTCCTTTGTTCCAACTTTCATTATGTCACATCTGGATTACTGGCAGCTCGTCTGGACATCCATTCTTGCTCTACTCCCTCAAATCCATTTTCCCTGCTTTAGCAAAGCGAACTTTTGAAATGCAAATCGAATTGTTGCTCTGCTTTAAACCCTCCCACAGTTTCCCATGGTTCTTAGGATGAAGTTCAAACTTACTCAAACAAGGTGTTAAGTCACTGCTTACTTCGCTAGCGTCACCATGCACAATCTCCCTCTCTTCTTTGAGCTCCATGCAGAGGAGTCTTTCCTCAGTTTCTCAAATAACACATGCATCTTACTATCTCTAGGCCTTTGTATATGCTATTCTCTGTATGGTACTCCTTTTCTTCTTCCAGTTAATTTCTACTCACCCTTCAAGGCTTTTAACATTTTATTTCCAAGTAAGCTTTCCAAAGCCCCTCTTCCCCAGACTAGACCAATTGCTAGTATGCACTCACAGCAGTCTGTAATTCCTTATGGCACTTTTCAAATTTGTAATTGCACAATGAATTGTGTAATAAGTTGTTTATTGTATCTTCATTGCCTGGTATATAGTTGGTGCTCAATATGTTTTGTTAACTAAATGAAGAATATGTATTTTGCAATGCTTGTTAAAACAAGGTGGAAATGGCTCTATTTTAAGAAGAGAGATTAAAGTCAAGGCTATAGGAATATTGGAATTTAGTATGGTAAATATCATAAATACACTAGGTCTTATGGTGGGGAAAGTTTTAAAAGATTTTTTTCTTAACCCCCCAGCTCTTGAAGAGAGGGAGCTTCCTAAAAGAGGTATGATAGTGCTCCTCATACCATAATGTTCTTAACTAGTTGGCTGCAGGTTCTATATAATCTGACATTTCATGAAGAGGTTTTCTTTCTTAGATGCCAGGTACTTGCACATAATGTATACCACTAGAGGGTGCATTCAACTAAAACTTGTCTTTAGTATTGTGCATGATTTGCAGAAGGTTGTTCATTCCTGGAAGTGAAGAAACACGATCTCAATTTGTTTTTGCGGAAGTGTGTCAAATAAAAATTAGTAGTTGAGTAAACCAGCCATAGAACTCCTTTAGGATTCAAAAGCAATTATTACTACTAATAACAACTAACTTCCATTGAACCTATTAGCACTGTGTGTTTAATGCTTTACGTTCATTACCTAATTAATCTACCCAAAATCCTGACAAGAGGTAGGAACTATTTTCTCCATTTTATAATGAAGAAACAAGCTCAGAGAGCTGAAGTAACTTACCCAAGGTCACACATTTAGTAAGAAGCAGAGTAAGGATTTGAACCATGATCTCAGACCAAAGGTGTGAGCTCCACTATGTTGAAATACTGCAGGAGATTGTTTTGTCTGCTCCACCCTACTTTGAAATAGACTTTACTAAGTTATCCTTGCCCCTGGGAGGATTTTGTTTGTTTGTTTAGAATGTATTCACTTTAACAGTTCAAGGGGTTATCTGTTGATTACATTTTTCATTCAGATATTACTGAAAGTGTAAATGTGTTATTTTCATAGCAATATAATCCACAGGGCAAGTGTTAAGTTAGGAGCTAGAGTTTTGGTTATAAAAGGCTGAAGTACCTCATTTTTAGAAAATTGTGAAGTGTGTTATGCATACAGAAAAGGATATAAAACATATGAATTAATTATAAAGCACATGTTCATGTAAACACTGCCCAGTTTAAGAAGCTGACCATTGCCAGATACTGTTTTAAATCATATTAATGTAATTTTCTGCAGAGGCGGTACATTTTATTTTATTTTTTAAAAATTCTTATTTTTTATTGAAGTGCAGTCTGTTTACAATGTTAGTTTCAGGTGTACAGCAGAGCAATTCAGTTATACATATACATACATGTGTATTTTTTTTTCAGATCCTTTTCCATTACAGCTCACTACAAGAAATTGAGTATAGTTCCTGTGCATTACAGTAGAGTAAGTTGAGATGGAGTTTAGTGAATCTAGAAAGGAGGGCTGGGACCAGCTATTACTAAATTAAACTTTTTTAAAAATGCCGAATCAAAATGTTTGCATTTTATCCTTTAGAACTTAAGCAATGAAGAACTATACATAGTTTTTTTGATCATACAGTAGATCCCATAAAGTAGATCTAGAGAAGAAGGTTAGATGTAAAAAAAGTGTACCTAATGCAGGGCTCGGAACCCTCTAGACACTTACTGAACATCATTAGAATATACGGAAAACTAGAACAGGAGAGAGAGTGGAAGAATTGGTGATCCTATTGTTGAAATTGAAAATGAGATCCAGATCAGTGACATTCTAACAGCTTCTTTCTTAAAAATCTTGTGTTTTTTTAGCTGCTTTAAAGCCCTTACAATAAGGCCCATGGATAACAGAATTATGAGTTCCTTCTTTCTTCTTTAAATATTATTTTATAAATGTTCCTTAATGAGCATGCATTGCCTTTAAACTCATTATTAAAAAGTTTTTTAATCCATGGAAGTTTTGATACAGCACATGAGAATTTCCAGTTATATCTAGATTCATAGAAATATAGACCTTTAAAAATATTGTTTTACAGGTCAATAAATGAAGTATCAGAGAAGTGAAGTGATTGCCATAGGACACACTGCTAGTGACAGTTTTATTACCTGACATGCACATGGAGATGGCCCTATGTTTTTATTTTTTCATTTGATTCTTGGTTTCCTCACTCAGTAACAAAGTTACAAGCAGTTCTGCTTTATTTCAAAAGTGAAAGAAAACGGTATGTGAAGTGTCTAACAAGCAGGGGAAACCCACTAGTGGAAGTTGCTTGAGGTTGCCAGGCCATAAGAAATAGAAATACTGTGAAGTTTGTGTTCTCCCCTGAAAAAGCTTGAATCTTTTTCATGTTCTTTGCTTAAACATGAGAAAGAATAGCAATTAATCATGACAATGATGTGGCCTTCTGACTCTCATTCCATCGTCTTCCGGTGTGTCTCTCAAGTTCGAGGTCCTAATTATGCATTTTAGTGGTTAGAGTGTCAAGTGCTTCAAATGAACACTTAGATCTAAATTACAAGTCAGTGGTTAAGATTTGCAAGCTCTCCTCTCTGAAATGAGCACTTCCACCCCTCGTACTTATGTCTGAGGAAACGCTACCTGGTATGGGACTTAGATTGTCCCTTCCAAGGGAACAGGGGGAAGTCTGTAGTTACAAATGGAATTCTGTAAAATAGAGTAGGTGAGGAAAAAGCTTTTTTGATATCCATCATTTGCCAATTCCCCATTAAAGACTAGATCTACAGAAATGACAGTCCTTGCTTTTACACAGCCAACAGCCTGTGAGGGTAAGACGTGGACTCATAAACCACTAGTAAGGTGATAAATGAAGGAATTAACACTGATAGTACATATTACAGATAAATTCATTCTTTCTGGGAGACTTCTGGAAAACTTCACAATAGAATGTGTTGCAGATAACTGGAAAGAGGGATTAGAATGGTGATGTGGAGGAGTCAATAAAGAAAATCTCTAACCACCCTCTCCAATAAGTTGAACTGCTTTGTGTAAATAAGGCCCACATTCACACACTTGCACATATGCATGAGTTTAAGCTAATATTTATAAAAGACCAAAGTGATTATAACCAAGTGGCCAAAATATTTAGAACAGATTTAGTAACTACTATAAGAAATAATCTATCTGTAAGTCTCTGGGTAAAAAGTAATAATTTAAGAGGACCACATAGGAGCAAATAACTAGCCCTCCGAAAAGTATGACATAGCAAATAAATGATCATGGGAAAAGAGGTCTCACAAATATTTTAAGAAATGTTTATGGACCAGGAGAATTTATAAAATCATGTTTGTATTTACCCTGGAAGTTGTGAGTATATGATGCTGAGCTCTATGAAGATGAATTGGGCACCATGCAGAGCCCCAGAGATCTGTAATCTAGTGGAGGAGACAGGGAGATATGCCAGTAATACCCCAAGGAGTAAATGAAGGAGGCAAATGTGGAGCTGTGCCCAGGTGTGCCCAAGGCAGCTCAATATGGAAATCACTAGCAAGTGTTCAAATAGAACATTGGCTAAATGGTGTTGCTTTAGGTATCTAAACTGTGTCTTGCAGCAGGAGAGCAAACCAGA